ATATCTCTTCAATTCATTTGATGTAAACAAATTATGATTATTCTATATGTATATAATTACTTTTGAATTGAAATTATATGTAATTGTTTCAAAACGTAGAATTCCATGTAATCGATCTATTTTATTTTATTTTGGTTAAAAACAATTTGTGCTCTTAGAATTTATGTTAATTTCGTGAAATTTTTTTGGTTATATTCTTAGAAATTGATGTAAAAGTTTTTTTTATTATTTTATTTGTGCCAAAATTGAATGACTGAGCCGTGACTAGTGACTTTACCCAAGAAAATTTTGTGGACATCTGAAGGCCCAATAATGGCTAATAAAGAGGGGAGTGAATTGGTTATTTGAAACTTTTTCGAAAAATTAATATAAATACAAGTAAGGATCAAATAAATTCAAATAACAAATATAATAAGTAAAAGAGAGAGAGAGAGAGAGGGGATGCAAACAAATTAGGAGGTCCGATCCAAAGCAATGATCTACGTCATCCGTTACCAAACTTTTCGGCAAGAGCAATGTATTTTCACTATGTTGATTGACATATGCTGTAATACAACCATTTACAACACTTTCAGTGACTTACAATCAAGGAACACTGATCTTTGTACAATGCTGAGTTTTTTGGGACCTCAATCACGACCCACAAATTTAATGGAATAGTGATTTTACAATTTGAAATTTCTCTCTTAATAACTGATATAATCAAATTAAGTACCAAGAGAGAAATATGCTAACACTTTAACAAATGATAATGAATGAAGTTCAAGTGTTAGGTGAGAAAAACTTTGATGAGTAAAATGATTTTTGAAAGTTAATTCAATCAAATTTTTTCAAAGTAAATGGTTTGAGAAAGATAAATCAATGTAGCTTTACTCAAGAATATCTCACATAAAGGCTCTTTAAGTTGTTTATTGAATGTAAAGTGAAATGGTATTTATTGCAGTCAAAACACCAAATTTTTGGCCAGTCAGAAGATCCTATCGGACGTCCGCCAGAGAGAAAATTTTCCAGATTTCTTCTTTTCTTGACGTTTTAAAAGGTATAGGCTTTTGAAACACATTTTCACTTAACTTTTCAAGATAAGTGATAATAGTAAATGATTTAAAAATCAAGTGAAAAATAATTTTTATGCGAGCGTTTTTATGAATAATTTATGTCGTGCATGAAAATTTTAACTTAGGAGTTTTCAGTGATTCATTGCTAAAGATTAAAACATTTTACTTTTACACATGGATTCAAGGTATCTAAGTCTAATATCTTCGATGAATGTTTGATTCGTCGCGAATGCTTCGATAGATTTGACGTGATTACTCGGCTTTTACTTTGATTTTCTTTGATCGTAAGTTGCGAGTCTTTTGATAGCAATCATTTTATCTTCAATTGATCAATTTGGCACAAAAACTATGAAGACTTGAATTCAATTGTTAAAATTAAAACAATTTGTTTGTTATAATCAAAACACGAGATCAACCATAGGTCAGCAGCATAATAGTTCTCAAAAATGTTAATTAGGTAATAAGAAAGATTGTAATTTTCTAGGTAAATAATGAATTTGCAAGATGAAAAGTATTTAAAAATCTTTAATCAAAATCTACAAAAATTCATGGAAGACTTTTATTAATTCTTAACAAATCCATAGAAATCACTTAAAAGTCCATAAAATCAACAAAAGTCGCCTACTTAAAAAAAAGTCCATAATAACTTGATTCATTTGCTAAAAAAAATCTACTATGATTCTCTTCTCATACCCACGCTTGGAATCATCTATGAAAAAATAGACGAAGACAAATCAGGAGATTTCAAATTATTGAGAAAGAGGAAATTGCACTATATATGTTTTTTCTGTTAGTGAAAGTATATGATTGGGTGATTTACACTAACTGAACATTTAATATGATTTGAGCAATCACTCGTTCTTGAGTAGTGAGAGAAATCAGGTCAAGTCCGTGAATAGAGACTTTCCTTACAATTGTACATTTGTTTAAGCTAATAATTAAAACAAGAANTAATAATTAAAACAAGAATCAGATATTCATTAATTAAATCCTTCATTCTGCGGCCAAATACATCTCTTCAAGAAGATATATAGTTATCGCTTTTCCTGAATCAACAATAAGTCTTGAATTATTATATAACAGAGAGACAAGTGAAATTCTATGAACTGCTGAATATTAATTGTTTTGACTCAGGTCTGGTTTGACTTGGAATCTTATTAAATGTTAGGTTCTGAGCAATCTAATTTTTGTATGTTCAACTCTTAACTGGAGCTGGTGCAAGCACTCAGTAACCCTCTCACTCCTAGTACTTGAAAGTCCACTTTGTAGAATTTCTTGAAAGTCCACTATGTCATTCAAAAGGGTTGGGGACTGTGGACTTCTAGTACTTGAGCCCTGTTCTTCGAGTACTTTGGGAGATCGATTAATTTGTGCTTCCTCGTCTTCTATAATTAGCTCTGCTACATGAGAATGTTGCATCAGAGAATGTTTGAAACTTTTGTATTGTAACCACCTAAAATTCAGGACTACTTCTGTATGTTATTGCTTTCAAATTACAAATTTCACAGGAATATTGAGCTTCTGACAGTTCATTTCATTGATTAAGATTTGTAATTGTTTTTTCATATACTAGTTATTTTTGCCTGGGATGAGATATGTATGTTATCACAGCTGAATTTTGATGTTTGTAAAATAGACCTTTATTTTTTTAATTATTGCATGTCTTTTGATTAGTGCATTTTGAAGTAATTTAATTAGTTCCCTATAAAATTAGTTTGTGGTGTTGTAAAATTTCTTTATAGTAACTGTTAGAGTGTTCTTGTCAATCACAAACCTTTCTTGAACAATCTGACTGGGAAGCCCGTCACAATAAAACTCAAGTGGGGAATTGAATACAAAGCTTATAAGTGCTCGCATTTGCATAGAGGAATGCGAATAGTTACACTGATATGGTGTATTCAAACTTCAAACCTTTTGTAGTTTGGTGCTTCATAGACATCAAGTAACGTCAAGAGTATGTTGTACACGTATTTTGCTTTAGTTAATGAAGGTTTTTGTTGAGGTTCTGGAATGAAGAATGATTAAAAAGCTTGTCTTTGGTACAGTGAAAATGAAAAATCATATGATATGTTTAAAGTGAACTTTTACAATTTAGGGCCGATGTGGTTTTAGTTGATGGTGTGATCTCCATTTTATTCATATAGTACCATATTTACGAATAGGTTGAAGATGAATATCTGCAAAACGGAATATAGAGTTTGACCACTATATTTTTATAAGTTGTAAGCTATGTGTTTAAAGTGAAACCTTGATATATGGACAGATAACATGTTCAGTGGCTCACAATTCTCAATTTAGAAAACTAAAGGAAGATATAATCTCCATTATTGACAACCCTGATTAGTCAAATTATAAGGTTTTGCTTTATTGAACATTTTATCGATTGTTGTTGCTACCTCTGAAATTAATTTCTCATAGATGATGTGCGTGTTATCTAAGTGGGAGATATTATTATTCGAAGTGAAATTTGGTTTTTTTAGGAGAATGTGCCGTTAAAAAGGGAAATATTATGGGACAACGTGCAAAATCATTTTATAGGGCAAATGTGTGGTTCAAAATGAGTTTGAGGAAAATTATTTTAAAATAAGCCGTCCACCAATAA